AAATTCAGAGAGAAATGGAAATGTCCAAATTATTCGATTATCAGTAATAATATTCAAACCATTATTTTCTAATTTTTTAAATATTGGTTGTATCATGACATCAAAACAGTATTAATACAGCATTCTTTTAACATATGCAAAACTATTCCTATTATCCTTGCGATTATGTAATTGTTTCAGCTTTGATAAGAATCCTAATAATACTTTAGTATCATGTTTATTCCTTTACCAATTCAGTATATTTCCTAATGATAAATAAACAGAATGCTCAGAACTTTTGTCAAGATGGTCTAATGTCATAGCATCAGAATAGAGAATGATCAATAAAACCTTTTTAATCCAGTTCTGATTGTTTATTAAACACGTTCTCATCACCATTCAGTCCATTATTCTCCGTATACACATTCACAATTTTTATCATCATTGACATTATATTCTACCAAAAAATCCCATTAACAGTACTTTAATATATCAGCATTAGACAAAAGCTCTTTGATAGCATCAAAGATAGAACAATAATGAAAGTAATATTTCTCATTTTCATATGTTAGTATTTTGTTTTAAGGTAAAGTAAATAATCAACATTCATTAAATTAATGAATTTATGCCTTTGTATTGTATTTATTGGTAAAATGATATTTTTCTGAAGATGATGCCTGCGAAATTACTTCAATATATCATTTCCAGCTGAATCAGAAAGGTGATAGGTTGATATGAGTTTCATAAATTCAGAATAAATGACATCTGGAAATTGTAAAAGCTTTTGGATCAAAATAGATCTCACATTGATTGATGATGTTTGATCTGATTTAGGGGCATGTAGATTATAATCATGATATTCAAAAGCAAACTCTTCAACTTCAATAGTATAATCTAATGCTTCATCTTTATCGACTGAAAAACTAGTATCATCAACTTCTTATTCTTACTAATCATCACCCTCTATATTTTGCTCTTGTCAATCATCATCCTTCAAAAAAAAAAATAAGTATATCATTTAAAGCTCTGAACGGTTCAAATTAATCTGAAAATTTTCAGTTTGGATCAACTTCAGTTCAGTTTCAGATTGCAAAAAATTTAATCTGAAATTTCAGATCGTTCTAATTGAACGATTTTTTTATCATTTGTTTGGAATGATAATTTAATCGTTCTAAATAAATGATTCTTTTATCATTCGTTTAGAACGATAAATCATTCCAATTGAATGATTTTTTATTGTTCTTTTAGAATGATATCTTTTATCGTTCTTTTAGAATGATAATTAAATCATTCCAATCGAATGATTTTTTTATTGTTCGTTTAGAACGATAACTTTAATCGTTCCAAATGAACGATTTTTTTATTGTTCGTTTGGAATGATAATTTCATCATTCCAATTGAACGATTTTTTATCGTTCATTTGGAATGATAACTTCAATCGTTCCAAATGAACGATTCTTTATTGTTCATTTAGAACGATAATTTAATCATTCCAATTAAACGATTTTTTATCGTTCTTTTGGAACAATAATTAAATCATTCTAATCAAATGATTCTTTTATCATTCTAATTGAACGATTTTCTTATCATTTGTTTGGAATGATAATTTTGTCATTCCAAATAAATGATTCTTTATCGTTCTAATCGAATAATTTTCTTATCGTTCTTTTGGAATGATAACTTCAATCATTTAAAATGAACGATTCTTTTATCGTTTATTTGGAATGATAATTTAATCATTCCAATTGAATGATTTTTTATCATTCTTTTGGAACAATAATTAAATCGTTCCAATCGAACGATTCTTTTATCATTCTTTTGAAACAATAATTAAATCGTTCTAATTGAACGATTCTTTTATCGTTCTTTTGAAACAATAATTAAATCGTTCCAATTGAACGATTCTTTTATCGTTCTTTTGAAATGATAATTTAATCATTCTAATCGAATGATATTCTTATCGTTCATTTGGAATGATAATTTCAATCATTCCAAATAAACGATTCTTTTATTGTTCGTTTAGAATGATAACTTCAATCGTTTTAAATAAACGATTTTCTTATCATTCGTTTAGAATGATAATTTAATCGTTCTAATCAAACGATTTTCTTATCATTTGTTTAGAACAATAACTTCAATCATTTAAAATAAATGATTTTCTTATCATTCATTTGGAACGATAACTTCAATTGTTCCAAATAAATGATTTTCTTATTGTTCATTTAGAATGATAACTTCAATCATTCTAAATAAATGATTTTCTTATCATTCATTTAGAATGATAAATTTAATCGTTCCAAATGAATGATTCTTTTATTGTTCTTTTGGAACGATAAATTTAATCGTTCTAAATTAACGATTAAAAATCGTTTGTTAACAATAAAAATATTACTGCTGAAAGCTGCAGAATGTGAAATTGTCAAATGAATATTTAACTATTTTCTTCAAGTAGAATATTTGTATTTTCTCTTTGACTTTGCAATTAATCTATCTTAGCTAGCTTTGCCACTTACTTGGACTTATCAAATTTTACCATATAATTTTGTTACTTGGCTTTAATAACTCTGCCACTTGGCTTTGTAAGTCAATTTTGCAACCTAGCTTTGCTGGTTTTGCCACTTAACTTTTATTACTTGGCCCTATCAAATTTTGCCATATAAATTTGCTATTTAACTTTGATATCTTAGCCAATTGGCTTTGTAATTAATATTGCAATATAATTTTGTTTGCTTAGCTGCTTAGCTTTTTACTACTTGCCTCTATCAAATTTTGCCATATAATTTGCTAATTGGTTTTGATGACTTTGCTAATTAGCTTGTATTTATTAAAAATATCATTTATCTTTGCTTCCACTTGGTCTTTTACTATTTAACTTTATCACATTTAGCTATTTAACTTATAACTTAATTGATTAATTAGCTTTATTAGCTTTTGCTACTTACTTTATTACTTTACTAGCTTTATCACAACATTATAAATATCATAGAAAATTATCTGACACTTTAATTTATCTTTTAATTTTTTTATAATTTTATTTAATAAAAAAATTTTAATAAAATGGAAAATGAATCATATTCTGATAATGGTGA